TGGTAAATCTTACCGTTGTGATTTTTCACTGTGCTGAGACAGAACCTGTCCTCCAGCCATCCTCGTTGTCTCGTGTTAAAAACATAAAAATGTTATTTCAGCTTTTTTAGTCAAACAAATAACATTTACTTCACGAATAGGAAGAACAAACAAAACCAGAGAACTTAAATGTTCTCTAGAAATACAAACTTTAATTAAATTAGCTGATGATGCTGAAAGTGAGTTGATAAAGCTGAAAAAAGCTAAACACTAGCTAAATGCTAAAAGTAGTAAAATCCTAGTATAAGGCTAAATGTAGTAAAGCAGTAGCTGAAATTAAAATGTGCTGAAGACAAGCTAAAAGTCAAAAAACACTAAACATTAACAGTAACAAAGCATAACCTTGAAGCTACAATGAGCCAAAGACAAGCTAAAAGAAACAAATCACTAGTTAGATGCTAAAATTATGAAAATGCTAATGAATAGTAGCAGAACAGTCGCTAAAAACTGAAAGTAGCTAGATGGTAGCTAAAATAAGCAAAGAAGCTGTTAAAATCTAAAGTTGCAAAAGTTTATCTAAAAGGATCAAAATAGCAGCTGAAACCTAAAGTAGCAAAAGTCCAGCTAAAAGAAGCAATCAATCAGCTAAAATCCAAATTAGCATTAAGGCTAACTGAAAGTAACAAAACCAAAAAATTACTAGTCTTGCCTTAAGCTTAAAGTAGCAGAACAAAAAGTCAAAACTAAGTAGCTAAAGGTTGGCTAAAAGCTTAACAGCTGAAAGTAGCTAAATAGTAGCTAAAATGTAAAAGTACCACAAGAGGACAGAAACAGAGCCAGTATTGCTCTTGTTGACATTTTCACTCTAAACAAAAACACTTGAAAGGTTTTTATTAAATTTAAAGCAGTTTTAAAGAAACTGAATATTTGAAACTTTTTTTTTGAACATTTGGAGTCAAATGCATAATTGATGCATTTTAAACGTACTTTAACTTTGTTTTTTTTAAGCTGCATGGAAAACAAAAGCTAAATTTAGTGTTGTTTCACTGACTCAAGTGATTATTACACCGTTTAAAAAAGAAACCTGTGAAACTTGCAGAAGTCATTAGAAGCTCCAGGTCTGGCTGCATGTTTTGAGCACCCTCTGCTGAACACAAGAGCAGCTACGTCTGTGATAAAAACTGCTCCGACTCATGAGGGAAATCGAGTTTTCTCAGGCTTTATAAACTTGAGACGGTTCAGTGTTTCAGGTGTAAATATGTGAAGAAGGTGAGCTGTTTTTTGGAGCGGCTTCCTGCAGAGGAGGAAACAATGAGTCAAACATCCAGCTTCAGTCTGTTCAGACTCATCTGTGCCGACAGATGTTTGTCTGTCCCCCGTGTGTCTGCAGAGAGAATAATGTGTCGGATAAATGACTTCTTAACAGTGTGTTAGCTCATAAAGCTGCACCGCTGTTGGCAGCCTGACTGTGTTTCCAACCTAATGGCCTCTGCGAAGAAAAAACTTTTATTTTATAAATTATTCTATGTTATTAAACTTCAACATTTATGTAAGCTGAATATAAGTCCTGTTGTTTCCCTGCTGGGGGATAGTTGATGTATTGATGTGTATTTCTCTAATTATTAATTTTTTTATTATTGTTTATTATGTTTCACAGCTGACCAGAAAGGCTGCAACCAAGTCGTGTCTAAAGGGCTCGACACATGGGCAGCGACAAACTACAGCGATTAACGGCTGTCATCACAGCCAGGGTGAAACCCGACACACGGGACGCGATGGCGATCGCAGCGTTGCGAATCGCGCTCTCAGGTCGCTTGTCTTCACGAAATTCGATTGGTTCTTGACTCTGAAGGCGGGTGTGCATTACGGACGTGTAAACTAAACAAATCTTGCGATGCTAATGATATTGAAAAACAAACACACATCAAGATACAGTTTTATGAGGAAACACTTACCATAAACTTCACCCTGGTGCCAATAAATTCCCACAAAGCTTTTTAGTAATCACTTGGTGAAAGTGTTAGCTAACGGCAGTGTGTAGCATACTCTCCTCTCATTGGTCAGTCAATGAAACCCTCGCTGATTGGTTGTACGCTAAGCGACAGCGACAAAAGTTGAACATTTTTCAACTTTCATATGTCGCGTCGCAAGCTCGCGTGTGTACGTCTACGTGTACGAGCGCAAAATATTTCTCATGCATTATTTTCGCCGGTCTCTTAGCTGGAGGAGGGCGAGCGATTGTCGCCTCACCGCACAGGCTCCATAGGAAATGAATGGAGAGCGAGCAACGTCGCCTCCCGTGTGTCGAGCCCTTAAAGGGGACCACTGGTGCTTGGTGTACATTTTTAATCCCCTCGACTTATTTAGTAGGGATGCATGAAAATATCGGCATTAACATCGGTATCGGCCGATATTGGTCATTTTTTAGAATATCGATATTGGTCGATAAACTGAGCTATTATTAATGTCCGAAATTGATTTCCCATTTTTTAGCTTTGTGTTTGTGTTGTGCGAGGGGAAATGGTTGATCGAGTGGTATCTATTTGGTCATGACACAGGGTTCCCGCTGACCCCTAAAACGTCTTAAAAGGCATTGAATTTATCAATCTAATAGTAAGGCCTTCATTAGTCTTAAAATGTCCTGAATCAATCTTTCAGAGGTCTTAAAACTGTTAACACACTGTAAGCAGGATGACTGTAATCGTCTCAAATATTAAAATATTTATCTTTTTCAATAATTAATCAGATGCTTCTCTAGTTGTTGTTCGGGTAAAATTGTCACCAACTAGGGTTTTTTTTCCCCGTGTGTGTTCTTTTGTGAAGTTGGTCTTAAATTTAATTTCAAGTGGCATTAAAGAGGTATTAAAAAGTCTTAAATTTAACTTGCCTTAACCTGTAGAGCTGTGGCACTGATAGTGATGCTGCGCAGCCAGGAATAACTAAAGTAGAGAAACCAATGTCAGCGCTCTGGTCATTTTTAAGTGTATTTGTGTGTATATGTATTTAAATAATTTGTATTTTTGTCTAATATTTGTAAATATCCTTTATTTTTATTTTTTAACTTTTGGTAAAAATATCCTTTATTGACCACAACACCAATGATAGTATCAGATATCAGTAATGGCTGAAATTTTCATATCGGTGCATCCCTAGGATTATTAGAACCTCAAAAAAGTAGAAGAACCTTTCTGTAAGACAATTATTGGTCCAATAATTTGGTCTTTATGAAAAAAAGACAAATAAGAAAGGTTTAAAGACAACAGTTTACAGCTCACCAACAACCAATGGGATAAAAACTAACTGTTTGATTCAAACCAAATCCCTTTAGAGTCTAAAAAGGACTGGGGTGGAGGTTCACGTTCCAGCAGAACAACCACCCAGAACTACCGTAGAATTACCCGGTCAAAGTCCGGACCTGAATCCATCTGAGAATCTGTGGCTCCCTGTCTGATTCTGCTGAGCTTGAGGTGATTTTTCAAAGCAGAAAGGACAAAATGCTCAGACTCTACAGCAGGGCTATTCAACTACATTTCTCCAGGGGCCACAGTTACTGCAGATCAGCAGCTGAGGGGCCGAACATCCAGCAATTAAAGTCATTATGTAAATAAGATCTGTTACCTTTGAAATAATTATATTTGCTGCATTTAACCATGAACTCTATAATAAAAGTAGTGATAATAAAATGTCAAAAACAAAAATAACACATTATGCCTCTTATTTAACACAAATATTATTTTGACATCTCTGACTTGCCAAATGTTTGAATCAATTTTATTTTCACTTTCATAATTTTATCTTCAACTGCTTGTAGTTTAAACTGTCTTGGGTGTTTATAGAAATATATTTTACCAGCTTCTAGCCGAGATTCTGGCATTTATGTAGATATCAAACATGTCTATGTTTAATTACTATAAGTTCATTTAGTTAAAGTAGAAAACCGGGGGTTTAGATTAAGAGATGAATAAACCAATGGACGGGCTGAACTTTGGTCACTCGCGTGCCGGATGTGGCCTGCGGGCCGCCAGTTGAGTAGCCCTGCTCTAAAACTTAAAAGACTTGCTGGGACAGGTCCTACAAAGAACTGATTCAGGGGTCCACAAAAAGTTGAAACTCATGTATTTATTTTTCTTTCACTTTGTAATTGTATTTGTGGCTTTGTGTTGGTTTGTCACTTAAATTTCCATTAAGATAGTTGGAAGTTGGCACATGTGTGATATTTAGTCATGCTGTCACCAAAAAAATGTACTAGTTGTTGACCTTTGGTGTGCAAATTTAGAACAATTCATTCTGGATGACAGCGATCTGATCCTGAGATGCTGCACACTTTTGAAATTTGCTCTTCGCTAATGGAGCCGAGGTAACAAGAGGAGACTAAATGAACAGATGCCTAAGTGAATGGATGTGTAATTAAAGAAAGGGGCGATGCAGTCGATGTAATTAGCTTGTTTATGGGAGGTGCAATGGTCACCAGTGGAAGCCAGAATAAAGAGGAGGAGGAATGAGATAGTGATAGAAAGAGAGAGAGAGAGAGAGAGAGAGAGAGAGCAAACTCCTTATTCAGGTCTTTTCTGCTCACTTGTCACATCAAGGCTCCAAATCAATTCTGCAAATTGGTTTGTTCCTCGACAAGGTTACCAAGTGACGGAGGAAAGGAGGGAGAAGGAGAGGTGGAGTGTGTGAGGGCTGTTAGGAGAGGAAGGGGTGGGGCCATCTAATGCAGAGCTATGGGTGCACAAGTGCAAGCTGAAGGCCAACGGCGGCAGCATCAAACCACCGAGAGGGTAAAAGATTTGAGTTAATGGTTGTTTTTTACAGGTAAGCTGGAATGGCGGCTCAGAAAATAAATATAACACCACTCTCTGTGCGTGTCAACGCTCCTGTAACCCCCACACCATGAAATAGAGCAAATGTCCTCCCAGTCACAGCAAAACTGTCGGAAAAGGAGAGTAAATATATAAGTTGCTCTGAGTGCAAGGTTTTCCTTCTCCGAGCTGATCCATGTCTGCGTTTGTGTCCTACAGGAACACTTCACACCCGAGTGTAAGTTCAAGGAGTGCGTGTTCGAGAACTACTACGTCACCTACTCGTCCATCCTCTACAGACAAACCCAGTCTGGCCGAGCGTGGTACATCGGCATCAACCGAGACGGAGAGGTCATGAAAGGAAACCGGGTCAAGAAGACCAAGGGTGCTGCTCACTTCCTGCCCAAACTTATTGAAGGTACGTAACTGAAGGCGGTGTATTTCATTCATATCGCCGGACTTTTGTTGGTCCCTTGGGCCTTCCACCACTAATTGACCTTTAAAAATCCCAAAACATGGCTATACCAGTAGGGAGGCACAGCTAACCAAAAAGTTAGCTTCACTAGCTCATAATAATACACCAATTAAAGCTAACCCATTAAACATCTAAAAGTTAGCGGAAACTAACCCTAAAGAGCTATCAAATACAAATCTTCAACTTGTATACATTTCATAAAAATGGAAGTAAAAACCTTCACTTGAAATGTAAACTGTAACACATTTAATGAGCATTGAAACTAGTATTTGTATCTGTTCCAAGTATCGGGGCATTTTGTACAAGTACTTGTAAAAATACTGGTACTGGGCCAGATACAAGTCTAGTTATAACTATAGGTGGTGGGCATAGCCAATCAAAAAGTTAGCTTCACTAATTACTGCATGGGATGTCTCATAATCTCTGAAAAGAGCCACTAGATCTCCATCACTTTTCAGCAAAAGCTAGTCTTAGTCTAAAGCTCTGATATAACTAGCAACTTGAAAGTATTTTAAATCGACATATTTATCAGTGGAAAGGGTGGAATGCCCCCTCCGGATCAGGGGGAAGTCTCTGCCTCAAGCGAAGGAGTTTAAGTATCTGGGTGTCTTGTTCACGAGTGATGGTAGGATGGAGCGGGAGATTGATCGACGGACTGGGGCCTCATCCTCAGTAATGAGGGCGTTGCTTCGGTCAGTTGTGGTGAAGAAAGAGCAGAGTCTAAAAGCAAAGCTCTGGATTTACTGGTCTGTCTTCATTTCAACCCTCACCTATGGTCATGAGGTGTGGATCATGACCGAAAGAACGAGATCCTGGATACAAGCGGCTGAAATGAGTTCCTTCACGGGTGGCCGGGTTCAGTCTTAGAGATAGGGTGAGGAGCTCTGTCATCCGTGGGGAGCTTGGAGTAGAGCCGCTGCTCCTCCTCATCGAAAAGCATCAGATGAGGTGGTTTGGGCATCTGGTTAGGATGCCTCCTGGACACCTCCCTTTAGAGGTGTTCCGGGCACGTCCCCCCTGATAGGAGGCCCCGAGGAAGACCCAGGACTCGCTGGAGGGAGTATGTATCCTCTCTGGCCTGGGAACACCTCGGGGTCCCCCAGGACGAGCTGGAAAGTGTTGCTGGATAGAGGGAGGTCTGGGTTTCTCTCCTGGACCTGTTGCCTCTGTGACCCGACTACAGATAAGCGGAAGAAGATGGAGATATTTATCAGTAAAAAGGTCTGATTTTTTCTTATTTCTGGGGCAAAACAAGAGCAATAATTGTCCAAAAGTTGAACAAAAGCAGTGATACTTTACCTAAAATCTTTATCAAACCAGCTGACCAAACTTTTGTCCTGATTCATGGATGGGCTCTATTTTGCTGAAACTTTTCGTCTTTTAGCCAAAACATTATTTCAGTCTGAGGAGTTGCAGGTAAACTCAGCCCTAGTACCTTTGCATGGTGCATCAACCAGTTTGCTGATGACACTCGAAACTGGGTGTTCACGATTAAAAAAGGACCATCAGTCTAACAACTGATCATTAGTGCCCTGATAGCTGCTTGTTGTTCACAGAGGGCTGAGTCATACTCGCAGTAACTCTATTGTAGAAAGGAATTGGACATAGAGGGTCCATCTCTTCCTTTACTCCTCTCTCAAACCAATGTTCCTCTGTATCAAAGATGAGAACATCTTCATCCCTGAAAGAGATGAAAAGGGACGCCTTTTGGATAAAGGATGTAACGTATCTATAAAGACCCCGTCCAGAGAACCTGACTTACTCTCGTTTGATCAGACTTTTAATCACTTGAAACAATTGTATTTATTTATGTTATCTTCTCCCCTCTCCTAGTGGCCATGTACAGAGAGCCCTCCCTGCATGACGTGGCTGAACAGAGTCCACCCAGGAAAACGCCCAAGACCTCTAGCGACTCGCCAGTGCTCCAGAACAGCAAGAAAGACGCTCAGTCCAAAACCAAAACTTCCACCTCCTAGCACTCAGAGACCTGGAGTAGAGGAGGACGACGCAAGGCGATGGCCCCCTAGGGAACACCTTGATGTTGGGGGGGCTAAACCCTGAACTGATACCTGGAGTCTGGACCTACAGTTCATTGGTTTAAAACTTTGAGAATCAATCCAGGCAGAGTGGAGCTGGCCTTTTATCCACACCAGCCCTCCACCTTCTTATTTAACGCCCTCCAGGTTTAGCAGAACCCGGAGTATAAGCAATAACTCAGTGAAAAGCTGAACAGTGGCCTCTTGTTTTAAAGCATGTCACCACAGCCTGTTCCACCAGCTGGAAGGACACCATCAGCCACAAACGTCCGGTCAACCCAATCTCTTCCCAGAAATGTCTTCTTCTGTGTTTTTTTTTTACATGATGGGTGCAACGAGAAAATCTGTCCCTTTGCAGCACATTTTCTTCCACAAATCGTTTTTTGTTTTCCCCGAAGGGCTTTTTTTTTTTGCTAATGTTAGCTCGACACAAAGCCATGCTAATGTGAGGTTTGTCGCACGAGGGGTCTCTGCAGATTTTCAGCCCCGCTGCCATCTGCTTCGTCCACCTCTTCTGTGTGTGTCAGCAACTTTTAAAGATGGCCTGAATATTCCTCTGCCATGTTTGTGTGTGTGTCTGTGTGTGTGTGGCTCCCTCTTCTTCCGTTCACCTTTGGCACGGTTTGATTAGTTTGTGACATGGACTCAATTTTCCACTCTGCGGTACAATAAAACCCCCTCCCCATCTCTCTGGCTCCGTTAATGGAGTCTGGGGCTGATCAGAATCTTTCAACCTTTAAACAAGGGGCCAAGACCACCACCCCACAAACACCCACCCTCCCCGGCACACCGCGTAACCGCACACACAAAGGCATATACCTCATACCTTGACGTTTATGTACACACATGCAGAAACGTGTGTACTGTGTACACACTTTATTACCTGGATGCCAATAAGTCACAACTGCAGAAAATCATCTCATGATCTCATAAAAACACACAAGTGTGTGTGTGTGTGTGTGTGTGTGTGTGTGTGTGTGTGTGTGTGTGTGTGTGTGTGTGTGTGTGTGTGTACACGTTCTGGGAAATTATGAAGATATGATCAAGACAAGAGGTGGTGCAATAGCTTTTTTCTCAGTGGTTGCCCATGCGTTGCACAAACCCTCAAGGGCCATACAGCATCTGCCAGTTCCCATTTACTCAGCATGTTATTGTTGTTTAACAAAATATGCAGAAAATGTCATTTTTACTTTCTATTATATTGTTAAAATTGCACCACAAACCTACAGTGACTACTTTATGCAGATATGATTCCACCCCACCCAGTCTCTGAATCAGAAAATTGTACTTTTAGCACTGTTTTCCTCATTTTATAATCTCTGAAAACAATCTCGACCCAAATTAACTAGATAAGTCAGGAACCAAAACCCAACACAAACACTTAGCACTTTGTTTTCTTGATTTAATTATTTTGACGGGCATGTTAATTATTTAGGTGGCAGGCTGTTTGAGTTTGTTGATTGATTAGGAAGAAAAAAGGAAATATGGATTTATAAAGAAGTATTTTTCTGTTCTTATGTGTTTTAAAAGTTTAGTTGCACTTAATGTGTGTTTCCTGTTGGTAAAACAATGAGGGCAAGTTGAGAACCTAACATATGACTAAAGGGACAGTTTGGTTATTTTTATTTGGAGGTATAAGAATCCTAAATGTAGAAGACAGCAGAATGATTTCAAGCTGGAGAATCAGTGAGAAATTCCCATTGAAGTGTTAATATGTACTCAGAATTAAGCTAAAAGCTACATAAAATGAAGCTAACAGTAACTCAAAGTGATGTTAACTGCTACTTGGAGTAAAGCTAACTGCTACTCAAAATAAATCTAAAATGTTTATGTTTTTGCATGTGAAAAACACGTAAATTCATGTTTTTCTCTAAAGTCTTAATTTGAAGGCATTTTTTTTTGTCTCTTTTGTCTTTCAGTCGAGTCAATGAGTACGGAGCCTGCGAGGGGACATGGGGGGATTTTTTTCTTTTGCGTTCCCACGCAATACCTTTGCGTTCCCTCGCAATTCTTTTGCGTTCCCACCCAAGACTTTTGCATTCGATTGCAATACTTTTGCGTTCCCTCGCAATACTTTTGTGTTCCCTCACAATACTTTTGCATTACCTCGCAATACCTTTGCCTTCCCTCGCAATACTTTTGTGTTCCCTCGCAATACTTTTGCATTACCTCGCAATACCTTTGCGTTCCCTCGCAATACTTTTGCGTTCCCTCGCAATACCTTTGCGTTCCCTCGCAATACTTTTGCGTTCCCTCGCAATACTTTTGCGTTACTTCATAATAGTTTTGCGTTCCCTCGCAATACGTTTGCGTTACCTCGCAATACCTTTGGCTTCCCTCGCAATACTTTTGCGTTCCCTCGCAATACTTTTGTGTTACCTCGCAATACCTTTGCATTCCCTTGCAATACTTTTGTGTTCCCTCGCAAAACTTTTGCATTCGATTGCAATACTTTTGCGTTACCTCGCATTACTTTTGCTTTACCTCACACTACCTTTGCGTTCCCTCGCGATACTTTTGCGTTACCTCACAATACCTTTGCTTTCCCTCGCAATACTTTTGGGTTACCTCACAATACCTTTGCGTTCCCTCGAGATACTTTTGCAATTCCTCGCAATACTTTTGCGTTCCCTCACAATACTTTTGCATTACCTCGCAATACCTTTGCATTCCCTCGCAATACTTTTGTGTTCCCTCGCAATACCTTTACATTCCCTCTCAATGCTTTTGTGTAACCTTGCAATATTGTTTTGCATTCCCACGCAAAAATTGTTTTGTATATGAACTGAAATAAATTAGACTTTTATTTTGAAATATCCGGTTACCAAAACAGGATGTCTCGCCACAAGTTTGTGAAATTGACATTGAAGTTGCGTGGCTGCACTGTGTTAAAATATTGGCATATGACATTTCCATGCGTGGCTGTGTAATATATTCATTCTGAAGCTGAATTAAAGTAGTAGGCTAACTCGCTAATGATGAGCAGGTGAATTTGTGAATAAACCGGCAGGCAGAACAGTGTTAAATAACTTTTGCGAGGGAACGCAAAAGGTATTGCGAGGTAACGCAATACTTTTGCGTGGGAATGCAAAAAGAAAAAAAATCCCCCATGTACCCTCACGGTACATAAGTGATAATTTTTCATGTCCAACTTTTTTAGCGCAACATGCTCGGCAGAGTAAATGTTTCTGCCTAGATAATTCACTGTGGGAAGTATGTTTCCTTGAGTTTGTGAAGAAAATATGAAGCAACCCTGAAGGTCTGTTAAAAGAAAAAGGAACCAAATAAAGAGAGAAGATGAAAGATTTTCTGTGAGAGTAATTAGGGATGATGAGCAGAACAAAAGAAGATTGAAGAGAGGATTCTTTCACTGGACAGATGAACATTTCAACCCCTTTTATGTATGATACCCCTTAAATATTTAGTTGTAAATAATAATAGATAAACCAGTCAGGCGCAGAGCTGAGCCAAGTAATATATGAGAGTAAAGTGAAAATGTTCAGGTGATGAATAAAAAGAAACAATAAGTGAGGAACAAGGACAGCAAATGAAGAAAACCAGAGGATCTTTAAGAATTCATTAACTGTTGATTTATTTCACACAAGCTACTGTTAAAACCTCAAGATCTTAATTAAAGTAGTTAAATGGACCTTCGGGTTGGTGTGTTCGACCAGCCAGCCCCCATGGATCGCTACATCCAGTGTTTGACTATTATTTTCAAAGTAATTGCTCAAATGTTTAATTAAAGGAGGTCCTGGCCTGCTGGAGTCGAATAAAGACCGTCTGGAGCTGTTAGGTGAGAAGATGTGAGGAATTCAACAAACATGACGTTTATTCTATCGATTTAAAGGGCTGGGAATTCTGCATGGCAATATAATTTCTATCATGACTGTTATCAGAAACTGTACCGCTAAGGGCTAAAGCTTTTGTTTGATGAGATTGTTTTAGAACAGAGATATTATGAGAATGTTTTATTTTAGTGCGAGTTTAAATGAGGGGTTTTATTCGTATGATCATAGTTAAAGCTGCACTCCACATTGATTTCACAGCACTGTTGAAAAACCTATAAATGATCTCTGTGGAGCTGTATGATCACTGTGAAGTAAATGTTTATGTTTCATTAAATCAAATTAATTTTTCATTAACTGAATAATTCCCAGACTGATGTAAAACTGTCCTCTTGTGGTGTTTAAAAGCAAACAGACCTATCAATTATGTAAGTGATTGTAAACACATTATTTATTAGGCCTTTTGCCATTTTCTATTTCTTTTCTGAGACAGAGTCAAGCTAACAGAGACAAAATTATTTAGATTTAATATAACTGCTAAACAGAGTAGCTAACAGGGATCAAGTTAGACTAAAAGCTACTCAACGTTTTCTTATATAAAGCTGGTTAAAGTAGCTAACAGCTACAGAAAGCTAAACTAAAAGCTACTCAAAGAAGCTAACAGCAATTCAAAGTCAAGCTAACAGACAAAATTGAGAGCTATTCAGATTTAATATAACTACTCAGAGTTAAAGTGCCTGTGACGTTTAATTTACATGATATATTTGAGTGCATATTTGGAAAGATAACATTAATGATGACTTTCAAACAAAAATTCACGACACTGAAATATACAGTTGTTGAGATATTTGCATGAGCAGAAACAGGAAGTGATGTCAAAGAGGAATGCCTGAATGAGTTATTATGACTAACAACAGTCTGCAAAGGATCAGATGTTTCTGTAGATTATTTTGAGTCATTATCAGATAAAGAAGAGTCAGATTTATAAAGACTAGGAAGTTACCCTTTTTTAAAGAGTTCCCCTTTGACATCACTTCCTGTTTCAGTTGGACTGCACCAAATTAAATAAAAAATGCACATTTTGTGACAAACTGGGTAAAAATCATACGAATGATGCCAAATTTAAGTAAGTAAGCAAGTAAGTGAAGTTTTATTTATACAGCGCCTTTCACAGAAATAAATTCACAAGGTGCTGTACATTCAGGGAAGAGGGGAGGGGCAGTTAAGAAACACCCATTCAAGAAGACGTACAAGACAAACATGAGGGAACAGGTGAAACCGGTCATGCAGCAAACAGTTGCGCTACCTTTAACAACAGCTTGAGATAAATTAAAGGAAAATTAAGTTAAACAACCTGCGAGAGAGCAAGACAGCCTGGGGGGGCTTAGGTCAGATAACATATAAAGGGGAGGTAAAATGGGGCAGGTTCAGAGGAGTGGGTGACGTTGAGGGAGGGTGGGGTCCGGGCAAGGCCCAACCCTGGGCCCATCCAGAGTCCAGAGTCACGTGATGTTATTTCTCTATTCAGTTCACCAGAGTTCAGAGATTTTCCTCCTCCTCAGCCAGTTGAGTTACACGGCTGGGTCCAACCCAGGTGATGGGGGTGGGAGCGAATCCTGCTCTTTTCTTAAATATTGGGATATTTCTTAAAATTCTTTCTAACTGAAGAAAAAGCATGTCACTTTGAACTAAAATCTACTCAAAGTTTTCAAGTACAAAGCAGCTTAAAGTAGCTAACAGCTACAGAAAGCTAAACTAAAAGCTACTAGCTAACAGCAATTCAAAGTCAAGCTAACAGGCAAACTATTGTTGGGTACTGTGAGTATCCACACAAACACACTTTTAAGTACACTTAAAGAAAAATAATGCATAAAATATTTTGGGGAGTGCTGCTCAAAAGGATAAAGAAAGCCTTTTAGCCATTAACCCTTAATGTCATTCTTATATAAAGAATGTGAAATCATGGCTCTTGTAGTCATTGCAGTCCATCTGGTACGCCTAAAATACGAAGTCAAAGGCATTTTTTATTTTTCTGCCATGACGTGAGCTCTTCCTTCCAGGTTCCAGACTGTTATTTAAATTATTTACATTAATTTGATTGTGACAGAAGTCCTGATTTTAGGTGATAAACCAATATTCTTAGGTTTAAATGTTATGTTTGCAGAAACTGAACAATAACATGATGCTATTGCTTGATGCAGCTTTATTAATAGGGTCACATAAAGGTTGAAGCTGAATTGGTTTTAGTGAGTGGAAAGTTTGCGTGTTGTATCTTTCTGTTCTGCCACTCTTTCATGAGGCTTGAAATCAGCTCCTCTTTTCCAGCCCGTCTGCTCTCGACACCTTCTGGCTCAGCTTCAAACATTCTGCAAAGTCTGCCGTTAATCTCAGCGGTCTTCTGTCGGAGCAGCGTTCACTGCCTCCCTCACGTCTGAATTTATCGCTTTTAACTCGCAGACGAACGTCTAAAGGGCTCGACACACGGGGAGCGACAAACTACAGCGATTAACGGCTGTCATCGCAGCCAGGGTGAAACCCGACACACGGGACGCGATAGCGATCGCAGCATTGCGAATCGCGCTCTCAGGTCACTTGTCTTCACAAAATTTGATTGGTTCTTGACTCTGAAGGCGGGTGTGCATTACGGACGTGTAAACTAAACAAATCTTGCGATGCTAATGATATTGAAAAACAAACACACATCAAGATACAGTTTTATGAGGAAAAACTTACCATAAACTTCACCCTGGTGCCAATAAATTCCCACAAAGCTTTTTAGTAATCACTTGGTGAAAGTGTTAGCTAACDGCAGTGTGTAGCATACTCTCCTCTCATTGGTCAGTCAATGAAACCCTCGCTGATTGGCTGTACGCTAAGTGACAGCAACAAAAGTTGAACATTTTTCAACTTTCATATGTCGCGTCGCAAGCTCGCGTGTACACGACTACGTGTACGAGCGCGAAATTTCACATGCACTATTTTTGCCGTCTCTTAGCTGGAGGAGGGCAAGAGATTGTCGCCTCACCGCACAGGCTCCATAGGAAATGAATGGAGAGCGAGCGACGTCGCCTCCCGTGTGTCGAGCCCTTTAATGTTACAAAATATATATATATCGGCCTCTCCAAGGAGTCTGGCATCGTTATTTGTCCGAATGAAAAGAAGACGTGAGCGGAGGGAGCGCCCGTCGAAGCGAGTGTTAAATGATGTATGTCTGATTTAGCTACACTCTTCACAGACAAGTTCACACACCTCTCTCTCCGGGGACTCCCTTCACTCCCATTTCTCTGGAGTCAGGGCCCTCCCTGCTTACCGAGCGAATCACAGCTGCAG